GCAGATCTGAAGGGTGCTGAGGAGCAAGGGCTCTGTGGTCCCTCCCACCCACTGGTGGATGTGAGGCAGGGGACGGCACACTCTGGGCCTCAGTTTCCTCCAGTGGAAATGGGGACGGTGACCACAATGCCCCCTTCCTAGAATTGCTGCAGGCTTCTGTGAGACAACACGAGACCAAACCACAGATCCCCCTGCAAGGTTCGGTGCCTGGCATGTGTCTGCTGGAGGGAGCTCATGGGACCAGGGGACCCTGAGAGCGGCCCCCAACTTAGGCCTCATAGGCTCCTTATGGCTCCATTAATCTGAACCACCGACAACACGTTTTAGGATGGAAAAGGGGGATGTGAGCCACTGGGCAGGGCCCCTGCCTGGGTGAGGGTGGAACCAGGCAAGCTGCTGCCTGTCTTTCAGCCTGGTGTGGCTCCCAGCACCCGGCCTCTCATGGTCTCCTGGGTAATCCCAGCTCCTTAGCTGGACCAGTGAGGTCAGCCAAGACTGGGCCTGGGACATATTTCCATCTCCTTCTACACACGTTGTGCCCCTGGGGACTCACTGAATTGCCCAGGGAGGACTGAGCCCCTGACTTCGAGGGGCTCCTGTGGGCTCATGTTCCCGCTCCATGTGCCCAGCACAGGGCTTGGGGAAGAAGAGGCAAAAATGCCAGTGGGGTAATTCAGGAGGTGCCACCCCCCATCCTTCCCTCCTGCACGGGACCTTGCTCGGAGATGAGTCATCCAAGGTCCAACCTTTGCGGCCAGTTCAGCATGTTAAGAACTTGAAGTTGTTAATTCAGCCTAACAAGAAGTAAAAAAGAAAAAAACACCTCAAATCAGCAACTCTTCTTAGAACCCTAAGGGAAGTGAGACCACACAGCAAACTGACCCCCAACCTCCACCGCCAAGACTGGAGAGAAAGACAGGTGTATATGGAGAACTGTCACTCACGAAGGGCAGGCTCCGTGGGGTCAGTGCCAGAACAGGAAATCTGGAGCAGTCCCGGAAGAGCCTCTGAGCACAGTGTGCGCAAGTGTAAGAGCTAAGATCTGTTGGGAGCCCGAGCACGAGGGCCACTTGCGTGAGCTTCGCCTCCAGGAGCTCTATGAGGTGCTCACCACAAAGATAAAAACAGAATTCTCTTCTGTGTCAGGCAGCAAGAGAAGAAGAATGGCCATCGTGAAACAAGCCAGGGCATCCTGTTCTTCAAAACCCCAGCCTTTAGGAGATACTGTCTTGCCAGAGCCTAATCTACTGGGTTTTTTCAGACCTGAACTATCTGGGAGAAGGGAAACACCCACACCCAGCCTCTCTAGCCTGCCACATGTGGGAAGGGTCACACACAGCCCCAGCCCCTACTAGTCATCCTGTCTCATTTAAGTCAAGGAAACACTGAGAAGCCCTTGTAATGTCCACGGGTTGGGGGCACAGGCTCAATGAAGACCTACCCACAGGAGCATGGAACACTTCCCTCCCCACACACCGTACCCCCGCATCACTACAGGACTCTTTACAGCAGTTTCTTTTATGCAGTATATTATGTGTGGCATTCAGCACAAAATTCTAAGGCAGGCTAAAAGGCAAAAGGCACAGTTTGAAGCAATGGAGGAAAGATTAGAACCAGACTCAGACGTGGCAGGGACCTGGAGTTATCGGCTGGGAATTTTAAACAACTGTGATGAATACGCTAAGGACCCTCATGGAAAAGTATACAACAGGCAAGAATAGATGGGGAATGTGGACATCGAGACGGGAATTCCCAGGACAAGTGAAAAACACCTTCTGGAGATCAGACACACTGTGACAGAAACAGAGAGAGCCTTAGCTAGTCTTACTAGTAGACTGAGCACAGCTGAGGAGAGAATCTCGGAGCCTGAGAATACAGCTGGAAAGAAAAGAGAAGAAAGACTGAAGGAAATGGAACAGAATATCTGAGGCCTGTGAAACAATTGCCAATGGTGTAACATGCACATAGTGGGAACACTGGGAGGAGGAGAGAAAGAAAGGAACAGAAGAAATATTTCAATCAAAAATTATTAACATCAGACACTGTGAGAAGTAGAAAACTTCTTCTTCAAAGCTTCCTTTCTTGTTAAGGAGTAAATCCTTCTTGCTTTTTGCTAGTAACTCTTTGTTAAGCCCTATCCTATGTAGCTGTTAGACATGTAATGCTCACAGGCACGTAGCACATTCTATGTCCTTGTACTTTAACCGAGATACTGTGCTGGACGTGCTCACAGGCATGTCCCAGCTCGCAGCCTATGCCCCTTCCTTATTTGGACTTCCTTTTTGTTCTCCATTGCTTTTACCTGTTTAGAAAAGTTTTAAGTTGTTGGCCAATCAGGTTTTAGTTTAGATTGTGAGGTCTGGCTCCAACCAATGAGGATCAGACACAGCAGTAAGGACGACCCCAAATGTATAAGGGATGAATATGTCTGCTTTTCCTCTGTTCATTGCACTCTTGCGGCAAGATGGTTGAAGAGGATACCCTTTCTGCAGGAAGTAAAGATTGCCTTGCTGAGAGATCCTTTGTCTTAGTGCTGATTTTTCCTTGTGGCACCGAGCATCTGTTTCCAACAGACACCAAACCACAGATTCAAGAAGCTCAGAGAACACCCCAAGCAGGATAAACTCAGAAAACAAAACAAAGCAAATATACACACCTAGGCATATCATAGTCAAACTTCAGAAAAATCCAAGATGGAAAAGAAACCAGGGGTTGAGTGAGGGACACCTTATTTACACAGGAGCAACGCTGAGAATAATGCCTGACTTACCCTCATAAACCATGCAAACAAGAAGACAGTGGAGTGAAACATCTAAAGTGTTAGAAGACAAAAGAAAATACACTAACCTAGAATTCTGCATCCTGTGAAATTATCCTTCAAAAGTGAAAAGAAATTTCATTTCAGGTAAATGAAAATTTGAGGGAATTCATTGCCAATAGAACGGCCTTGCCAGAAATGTTTTTCAGAAGTTCTGCAGAGAGAAAGAAGATGATATAGGTCAGCAACCCTGATCTACATAAAGACAGGAAGAGCATGTCAGAAGGAATTGGTAAAGAGAAAAGGAAGCCTTTTATTTTTTCTTAATCTTGATTTATCTAAGAATGTGCTAAAAGAAAATAACAACGATGACAGAGAGGCCGGCCGTGGAGGCTCACGTCTGAAATCCAGCACTCTGAGAGGCTGAGGCAGGTGGACCACCGGAGGTTGGGAGTTCGAGACCAGCCTGGCCAACATGGTGAAATCCCGTCTCTACTAAAAATACAAAAATTAGCTGGGCGTGGTGGTGGATGCCTGTAATCCCAGGTACTTGGGAGGCTGAGGCAGGAGAATTGCTTGAACATACGAGGCAGAGTTGCAGTGAGCCGAGATCACACCACTGCACTCCAGCCTGGGCAACAGACTGAAACTCTGTCTCAGAAAATAAAATAATAAAATAAAACCCAGAATGTGTATTTGATGGTCATGGTTATGTATATGTGAAATGAAGGACGGCAGTGGGACAACAGACAGGTGGGTGGAGTTAAGAATATCTCATGTGAAATGAAGGACGGCAGTGGGACAACAGACAGGTGGGTGGAGTTAAGAATATCTCATTATGTGAAATGAAGGACGGCAGTGGTACAACAGACAGGTGGGTGGAGTTAAGAATATCTCATTATGTGAAATGAAGGACGGCAGTGGTACAACAGACAGGTGGGTGGAGTTAAGAATATCTAATTATTTACTGATTTTGAGACGGGGTCTCGCTCTGCCACCCAGGCTGGACTGCGATGGTGTAATCTGGACTCACTGCAGCTTTGCCTCTCGGGTTCAAGCCGTCTTCCTGCCTCAGCTTGTTGAGTAGCTGGGATTACAGGCACGCGCCACCACACCTGGGTAATTCTGTATTTTTAGTAGAGATGGGGTTTCACCATGTTGGCCAAGCTGGTCTCAAACTCCTGACCTCAAGTGATCTGCCCGTCACAGCCTCCCAAAGGGCTGGGATGACAGGTGTGAGCCGCTGCGCCCAGCCTAAGGATATCTTATTATCAAAGGGCTTGAGTTCCCTCTGAAGCCACATGAAATATGAAAGTCAACTTGGATGGGACGTAACTATATATTGCAAACTCTAGGGCAACCACTGAAGAAGTGAGACCCAGCCTCTCAAAAAAAAACAAGGAAATGAGCTATCAAGCCATGAAAAGAAATGGAGGAACCTTAAATGCATATTAATTACTAACTCAGATAAGTCACTTCGAAAAGGCTACAAACTGTGTCATTCCAACTACACAACGTTTTGGAAAAGGTGAAAGCGTGGAGACAATAAGAAACCAGAGATGCCAGAGGCTGGGGCGGGGCAGGAGGGGTGAACCTGCGATTGCAGGCTTTCTGGTCCTCTCCTGAGGCAGGGAAAACACTCACAGGCTGCTGCAAGGAGGGATACAAGTCACGTACATTTGTCAAAACCCACAGAATGTTCGTCACCAGGAGGAGACCCCACCTCAGTCCAGGACCCTGGCTGATAACAAACTATCCAGGTTCCTCAGATGTGGCCAGCACACTCCTGCGGTGGAGGAGGTGCCTGTGCCAGGTCACGGGGTAGGTACATGGACATTTTCTGCAGGTTTTGATCAATTTTGCAATGAACTAAATCTGTGGTATAAAAATAAATTCTATTAAAAGAATCCAAGGCCCCCTCTCATCTCTCGATAAGATAAAGTTTGCTCCTCTCAGTCCTGGAGAAAGAAGAGGCCACACCCCACCACATTCCACCCCCATGGACCCCCAGTCCGGACCCCATGCCTTTTCTCAGCATCCTCAGACCAGCAGGACTCGCAGTGATGGGGAATCAGGCACCTGACTTCTTCATCCACCTTTGACTGGGGGCCTCCAGCCTTGACCTTCGCTCTCAGTTTTCCAGGACGGTCCAGAGCCAGTTCTCCCATGACGTGATCCGTTTCCAGGGCAGGTTCCAGGGCGAGATAAAAGGATTGGGGCTGAACAGGGTGGAGGGAGCATTGGAATGGCACTCTGGGCAAAGGCAGAGGTGTGCATGGCAGTGCCTTGGCTGTCCCTGCAAGGGGCACGGGCACTGGGCACCAGAGCCGCTCAGGCCCCCAGGACGGTGCTGCCCTTTGAAGCCATGCCCCAGCGTCCAGGCAACAGGTGGCTAAGGCTGCTGCAGATCTGGAGGGAGCAGGGTTATGAGCATCTGCACCTGGAGCTGCACCAGACCTTCCAGGAGCTAGGGCCCATTTTCAGGTAAAGCCCTCCCTGGCCCTTGCTGGGAACACCCAGATCATTGCCCCTGCTGCCCAGGACCCTGCCAGGCACACAGCACTGCCATTCCCAGCTGGTCCTGGGGCTCTGCATCCTTTGGAGGATGGAGAGGAAGGGCAGCGTGTCCTGGTCTGTGGCTGTGTCAGTGCAGGCAATGGTGTGGAGCAAACCCCAGCTTGCTGCAGAGAGGGCAGGACTCAGAGACACTAAGGTAGAGAGGTTCCAGGGAGCCAGCAGGAGGGCTTCAGCTGTGAAGCCACTAATCCAGGAGCGGGGAGGGTGACAGCAGACTGCTGGATGGGGACTGCAGGGTGGGGCCAGGGAGGACATGACCCCATCCAGCAGAGCCTTGTGCTTGGCCCCACAGGTCCGAGTTGGGAGGACCACGCACGGTGTGGGTGATGCTGCCGGAAGATGTGGAGAGGCTGCAGCAGGTGGACAGCCTGCACCCCCGCCGGATGAGCCTGGAGCCCTGGGTGGCCTACAGACAACATCGTGGGCACAAATGTGGCGTGTTCTTGCTGTGAGGGGCGAGCCGGGAGCTGGGAGCTGGGGGAAGGGTGGGCAGCCTGGGAAGTGAGAGAGGCAGGAGCTGAAAGTGTCTGCCCTGGGCCCGTGTGGCAGGTGGTGAGAGTGAGCACCCAGCTCGGAGGACGGCCATCCCCTGGGGTCACATCTGTCCTGCAGCTGGGGAAGCCGGGGGTGGAGAAATGGGCATGGACACCTCCGCAGAGGAGAGGACACAGAGCAATGAGCCCTTCTGTGTAGGGAGAACCTGCTCTGCACCGACCTTGGCGACTGCTTTCTCTTGCGCCTGGGGACTTTCTTTCCACAGTCAGGAAACTGAGGCGCCAAGAAGGGGGCTCCCACTGGCCCAGCTCACAGGCTATGTGTGCTGAGCCTGGTGTCCACCAGGGCTGCAGCCTCTCCATAGGGTGCCCTTGGCTTCTGCAGTCCTGGCAAACCTTGGTGATGGGGACAGTTCTGGCCAGGAGGCAGGTGGGGACACAGGTGGCTGGTGGCTCCCTTGCTCTCAGAAGCAAGGCATGAGGTGGGGCGGTTGATGGCACTGGGGAGATGTTTCCTGGGCCATGGAGAGGGTGGTGCCTTGTCAGGTGGGCAGGAAGAGGCTGGTGCTTGGAGTCGGTCACCTGCAGGGAAGTTGCCATTAGAACAAGGGGAGGACTGGACCAGGATGTCACAGCGGCGACAGCCCCCATTCCATGGCAGGAAGGGAATGCTCTTGGGAATAGTGGGGTTTAGGTAAAAGGGCACCCATGGGTGGGGGTCTTTACTGATGCTGGCCTACAGACCACATCTGGTAGGGAGTCAGGACCCAGGAAGCAAGTCCAGGAGGCTGGATGCGCATATGGGAAGGAAGGGGAGCGCTCCTGTGTGTGTGCTTGTCTTGCATCTGTGCACATGCCTGTGTGTTTCTCTGTATCTGCATTGGCACATGCATTGTGTGTACATGCCTGAGTGTGTGCATGTGTGATGTGTGGTATGAGTGCACCAGTGTCTCTCTGTGTACATTGGCAGGTGCTGGCATGGGTGTAGTGTCTGCACACGTGCACATGTGTCTCTTCACATGTGTGTTGAGGTCTTACACAGGCACATGTGTACATGTGTCTCTTCACATGTGTGTCGAGGTCCTGCATGGACACACAGGTGTACATGTGTCTCTTCACACACGTGTGTTGAGGTCCTGCATGGGCACACAGGTGTACATGTGTCTCTTCACACACGTGTGTTGAGGTCCTGCATGGGCACACATGGACATGTGTCTCTTCACACACGTGTGTTGAGGTCCTGCATGGGCATACATGTACATGTGTCTCTTCACACACGTGTGTTGAGGTCCTGCATGGGCACACGCGTACATGTGTCTCCACACATGTGTGTTGAGGTCCTGCATGGGCACACGTGTACATGTGCATCTTCTGCCTCTCATCACTGTCAACACCTGACAGCAGCCAGCTGGACATGAATAAAGGAGTTTTGCAGGAATGTGGCTGAGAGGGGAACACTCTCCCCACCATTCCCTGGGGACTTCCATGGAGCCCCCACCACTGTGAGGGCATGGGATGAGGTGGTGCCAGTCTTGGGACGTCAGGTCCCAGGAATGACCTCAGTTACCCCCTCAGAACCTGTGGGCAGAAGCTACCATCTCATCCCCTGTTTAGAACTGAGTGGCCTTTGCCCAGCACCTGCAGGCCACTCTGAGAAAAGGCTACAGCTGGAACAGAAGCAGGCAGCATCCTGCAGGGCCCCCAGTCAGCTCCCTGGACGCCGATTCCATCTGGGGACAAGGGGGATGGGATGCGGGTCGGGCCTGTGTCTTGCCGGGCGGCATCACAAGCTCTGCCCTGGCCTCTGTAGGAACGGGCCTGAATGGCGCTTCAACCGATTGCGGCTGAACCCCGATGTGCTGTCACCCAAGGCTCTGCAGAGGTTCCTCCCGATGGTGGATTCGGTGGCCAGGGACTTCTCCCAGGCCCTCAGGAACAAGGTGCTGCAGAACACCCGGGGCAGCCTGACCCTGGACATCCAATCCAGCATCTTCCACTACACCATAGAAGGTGTGGACCAGGTGGGAAGGTCCAGCCTCAGAGACCATGGAGTGGCCAGGGACGGGAAAGGGGAGCTGGAGGGAGCGGGGGAGGCAGCCAGGAGGCTGGGGCTGCCTTGGGCTCACAATGCCTCCTTCCCACAGCCAGCAATTTAGCCCTTTTTGGAGAGCGGCTGGGCCTGGTTGGCCACAGCCCCAGCTCTGCCAGCCTGAGCTTCCTCCATGCCCTGGAGGTCATGCTCAAATCCACCGTCCAGCTCATGTTCATGCCCAGGAGCCTGTCTCGCTGGACCAGCCCCAAGGTGTGGAAGGAGCACTTTGAAGCCTGGGACTGCATCTTCCAGTATGGTGAGGCCAGGGACCTGGCCAGGACTACGGGGCAGGGATGCCATGAGGGCCCAGTTTCTCCCTCTGCACTGCCCAGAGGGGAGTGAAGCCCAAAGGGAGGGGCTGGGAATTCCGCATCATCCTGCCAGGGAGATTGGGAGCAAGGCTGGGCTGGGCTGGACTGATCTTGGGAATCCAGCGGCCTTCCCCTCACTGGACAGGAGACAACTGTATCCAGAAAATCTATCAGGAACTGGCCTTCAGCCGCCCTCAACACTACACGGGCATCGTGGCAGAGCTCCTGTTGAATGCGGAACTGTCACTAGATGCCATCAAGGCCAACTCGATGGAACTCACTGCAGGGAGCGTGGACACGGTCAGGCCGGCAATCAGCCCCACCCACAGAGTGACGCCAAGCTTCCCTCCCGGGCAGTGCCCGCCAATGCCACACGGCACCCACATGCCCCATCCCCAGGCTATGGGCCCCGCATTTCTGTTGCCCATAGCCTTCTCCCTCCATTTGTCAAGGGTTGAGATTTGCATGGGAAGGGGAATGTGAGCTACCCCTCAGGAGACAGAGTTTGCAGTTACCTGTGTGGGGAACCATGCTCCAGGCCGGGAGGAAGGTGGATGAGGCCTGGGACACATAGTAGTGCAGTCCCCATTGGAAAGCTCTGGGTGTGCGAGGAGAAGGAGGGTAGAGAGGCAACTGGAGGCCTGCATAGGGCACCCTTCCCAGGGTACCTGTCATCTGGGGCCAGAGCTGGGTACCCATGGGAGGGCAGGGTTGTGGAGAAGGTGGCAGCACTAGCTCCAGCCTGTGCGGAGGGGCCTGTGGGTGCCCTATGGAGAGAACCCGATGGAAATAGAGGGAGCTGGAGCTGCAGAACTCCCCAGATGATGCTGAGGTTCAGCTCCCTGCCTGAATGGTGGCTGTGAGAAACCCCTGAAGAGGCTGCAGGGGACCTGGGCCTTGGTTGGGATAGGGGTCACCTTTCTCTGAAGAAGTCAGGGAAACTGGTCCAAGTGGTCATCAGGGTTTCAGATCTGGGGTTCGAGGGCAGTGTCGTGCTCAGGGCATGCATGTCCCCGCTCCGCAGAGGGGGCTGTCCTGGGAGGGGTGTCTCGGGGGCTGAGTCCTGTGCAAGGTGTGACTCTGCAGCCATGGCTTCTGCAGACGGTGTTTCCCTTGCTGATGACGCTCTTTGAGCTGGCTCGGAACCCCAACGTGCAACAGGCTCTGCGCCAGGAGAGCCTGGCCGCCGCAGCCAGCATCAGTGAACATCCCCAGAAGGCAATCACCGAGCTGCCCCTGCTGCGGGCGGCTATCAAGGAGAGCTTGAGGTGGGTGCTGGCTGAGCCCTCCCTCTGGCCCCGGCCCCCTACTGGAGAGCAGCCGCCACTGGGGGGTGGCAGACAGAAGCTGGGGCTGATAAGCAGCGTCGCCCAGCAGCCCATTCCCCTGCACCTGCTCTTCCTCTCCCTCAAGAACAGGGACCTCTTCTTCCTCTGGAATCCCTCTTCAACACCCTGGGGATTAATGTGGGGCGTGTGCTTCTGGGCGTGGGGCTGCTCAGATTAGGGGAGGTTTGGCCGGGCTCAGTAGGTGCACGAAGCTCTTCCTCACGACCTGGGCTTCCCATGGGCTGGGCACATTCAGGAGTCTTGGGTAGGAAGGCAGCAGAGGGCACGGGACGCCCTGTCCAGCTGAGGGCTCTTTTAATGGATGCCCCCACCTCCAGGCTCTACCCTGTGGGCCCCTTTGTGGAGCGAGTGGTGAGCTCAGACTTGGTGCTGCAGAACTACCACATCCCCGCTGGGGTGAGTGAGCCCCACACCCCTTCAGCTGAGAACCTCCCTCCCCAGTCTTTTCCTGATCCCTGCTCTGCACCTCTGCAGACACTGGTGCAGGTTTTCCTCTACTCGCTGGGTCGCAATGCCGCCTTGTTCCCAAGCCCTGAGCGCTACAACCCCCAGCGCTGGCTAGACATGAAGGGCTCTGGCAGGAACTTCCACCACGTGCCCTTTGGCTTTGGTATGCGCCAGTGCCTGGGAAGGCGCCTGGCAGAGACAGAGATGCTGCTGCTGCTGCACCACGTGAGCAGATGGGGCGTGGTGGGGGCGGGGCCTGGGCAGCAGAGGCGGGGCCTGGGCCCCGGGGGCAAGGCTTTCATGGTGTGGTTGGGACCTGGGAACAGTGGATGGAGCCTTGGTTGGTTGAAGTAGGGCCTGACCAGGAAGGGTCTGTGCTGAGCAAGGCAGGGCAAGGTCTGGGTGAGGTTGCTTCTAAACAGTGAGGTGGGGACTAGGGGAGTGGGGTGGAGCCTGTACAGGATAATGAGCCTTGGGCAAGACCTGGGCAGGAGGTAGTCTGGGCCTGGGCTGTTAGGTGTGGCTGGTCAGGAATGGGACAGCTTGGGGCACAGGCCTTCAGCATAATCCTTGCACCTGGGAGGGTGGGAGGAGGCTGCCCCAGGTCCACGGGTTGTGGACCAGGCTAGATGGAAACCCGGCTTCTGTCCTAGGTGCTGAAACACTTCCAGGTGGAGACGCTAACCCAAGAGGACATAACGATGGCCTACAGCTTCATACTGAGGCCCAGCACGTATCCCCTCCTCACCTTCAGGGCTCTGCACCCAGGGTCCCAGCCTGGCCACCAGCCTCCCTCTCCCTGACCCCAGGCCACCCCGCTTCTCTCCCACACAATGTCCGGAGCCACCCCTCTGTCAGCCAGCCCTAGCACAATTGGAACACCCGAGGGCCTCGAGGACCAGGCTTGCCAGGCTTGCCAAACAGCAAGGCCAGGGCACAGCTGGATCAATCTCACTGGCAGGACCCAGCCTTGTCCCCAGCGCCTCCGGCTCCTTCTCCAGCAAGCAGTTTGCCCCATCCCTCTCAGCGCTGGCTCCAGGCCATGCAAGCGTGCTGTGATTTTATCCCTTGCCTTCCTGCCTAGTCGCACATGTCCCTGTCCCTTGTCCTGTTAGGGGAAGCAGCAAAGGAGAAAGGACCTTCAGAGTGCCTATATAAGTTGGTTATAAGTAACATATAAACAAGGAACAACAAACTGCGGAAGGAAGGCCGCTCCATACCTAATGCTTTAACACTGTTTACTTACAGGTCAGGTAAACAAAAAAAGCTGCAGTCTGGTAGAAACCACATAATTCAATCACCCAATCTAAGTTTACTAGCAGTCAAAGAGCTGAAATTAAAACTGTGATATTAGCATTAAAAAGCTTTTTTTTTTTTTTTCAGCCCATAAATACAGCAAGTGACTTGGCTTGCTCAGTTTATTTACAAAAAAATCTTAAAACAGCTGTATTAAGTCAAATCTCAAGCCCACAGCTCACTGCCTGGGCCATTAGCTTATAGCAATAAACAAGCAGAATTACAAGTGGTAACAACACGGCTTAACCAAGACAGAAACAGAAAACTCAGAAAAATGGAAAGAAACAGTCAGTGAGAGAGAGAGAAGGAGGTAAGGAAGGCAAAGAGAAAGACAGGCACAGAAGGTAAGACACAAGAAAGACATAAAGTAAGGGGGAAAGGAAGAAATATTTAGAAAGCTATAAGATTGCACCCTTAGTAGGGAAGGCTATAAAATAAAGAAAGTTTAACCTAAGTTTGTCAGTGAAAGTTGTAAAAATGTTATAAAAGGGAATTTATGCAAGTAGGTTGTATAAATTTTGGTTTGAAGGTCTAAACAAGTTTTAAAACATTAATCGTAAAAAACAATTCTGTGTGTAAACGTGTTGGTTAAAAGTTAAAAGTATCTAGTTTCCTGTGAACTAGACAGTAAAATAAAACAGCACCTGGAAAGCCCTATAGACAGCAACAAGGAGGAGGGACCCAGAGGGCCCTGGACGCCCCTTCACAGCAGGAAGTACTTACAGAAGAACGACCTCCACCCTACTTTCCAAAAGAGTTCTGGGTCCCAACTTCTTAAGGAAAAAAAGTAAGAGTGGGTAGTTAGGTTGGGAGGTGCTGATGGACTGGCAGCCCTGAAAATGGAGGAAAACACGTGGAGGATCTGGCGGCTGTTGTGATTATGTTACCTATCTGCTCCGGGCTCCAAGATGGAGCTGTCCTTGCTGACCTGGCTTTGTGAAACAAAAGCAGCGGGGAGTCAGAATCCTCCACCCCTCATATGCAATTACACTTAGCCCTTGCAACTTTAAAGTTTTTGAACATTTCTAAGGATCAGGTTTGAACAGCTGCCGAGCAGCATTTATCAGGACAAAAATGGAATCCTCAGGAAGGAAAATTAATTTGGTGGCAAGACTCATTAAGAAAAGGTTGGGGAAAAGAATGTAATAACGTGAGGCATGGAGAGGCCTTCCTCCTCAGAGGCCTCCTGCGGCCTTCTGCAGTTTGTTGTTCCTTGTTTATAAGTTACTCATAACCGATTCATGTAGGCACTCCGTAAGTCCTTTCTCCTTTGCTGCTTCCCCCAACACGCCCCCTGGCCAGTGCCTCTGTGCAAACTGTGTCAGAGTCAGTAAGCGGGATCCCAGCATCTCAGAGTCAAGTTCCCTCCTGCAGCCTGCCTTGGCTCGAGCATGCCCTGAGAGCTCTGAAAGTTGTCACCTTGGAATAGGGTGCTGCAGGGTAGAGTAAAAAGGTCCCTGTGGTCCCTTGTCCTGACACATCCCCAGTTTCGAGTGACACAACTGAGTCTCGAGGGACCTATGTCCCTACAGCTGATCATGTCAGCCTCATGCCCCAGGCCTCGTCTTCCATGGACCAGGCCTTGTTCCAGCAGCTGGCGTTGGGTCCTCTGCTTCCTGTGCTGTCCCCTGGGGAAGGTCCCGAGGATGCTGTGAGGAGAGGGAAGAGTCTTGTAGGGTGAGAAGCTTGGGCGTGGTTCCAGAAATGTTTCTGCCAACAGGAGAGACAGGATTGGGCCAACAGGGACTCGGATGCCTTTTATTCACTCGTTCCTGGTTGATACGGAGCTATGCCATGTGCCAGGACCTGGGGTGGGCACAGGGAGGCTGCGTCTCCCAACGTGAACCTGCCTGTGGGTCTCATGTGCTCCTAGCCTAGCAGAGAGAGTTGACCCCTCCCTAACTGGTGCAGGGAGAGGAAGTGCCCAGGGTGAGAGTGTGTCAGCCAGACTGTCCTTATCCCCAAGGATTTTCATCAGGGCAAAGGTCACAGCCACCAGCTCCTGGTGGCTGATGAGGATCAGAGCTTTTGTTTCCCCATGAAAGTGGAAATCCCTAGGCCATCATTCCAGGTGTGGTCAGTAGTTCCAGGTCGCCGTCAGAGACTCAGGCCAGTCACCCTGTGATTGAAGGTTGCTTCCCCACCCTGGGCAACACAGCGCAGCACTGGAGAAGAATACGGGGGGAACAAGTTGTATGGTCACCAGGGTTGGCATCCTTGCCTATGGGACTCTCGCAGATTCTGCTCCAGCTCCCCTGGCCAGACTAGGTCATGGGATTCTAAAACAAACCTTGCAAAAACATTTTAAAGCTTTTTATCTCAAAATTACTATAGATACATTCAAATTTGTTGAAATATATATACAGGCAGGTCCCCCACACCCTTTGCACAGCCTCCCGTGGTCAGCAGCTTGCATTTATATAAAGCACTTCAAATCAGGAAATTGACAGTGGCATGATTCACTGAGCTTATTTAGAACGTACCCGTGAAGTGTGTGCCTGTGTTTGGGTGTGTGCATGTGTAATTCCGTGCAACTCCGTCCCATATGTAACTTTTTGTGTGTTTTTAAATGCAGGCTTACTTATTACTTGGATGTGGTGGGGCCACCAGCCAGGAGATGACTGTGGTTGAGAAAATAGTGTTACTGACAGCATGCAGTGGCAGGGGTGACTGTGGTTGAGAAAATAGTGTGTTACTGACAGCATGCAGTGGCAGGGGTGACTGTGGTTGAGAAAACAGTGTTACTGACAGCATGCAGTGGCAGGGGTGACTGTGGTTGAGAAAACAGTGTTACTGACAGCATGCAGTGGCAGGGGTGACTGTGGTTGAGAAAACAGTGTTACTGACAGCATGTAGTGGCAGGGGTGTTCTTGCCATCATGACCACATTGGAAGCACCGGGTCCATCTGGAGGCAGAGGTTCTAGTTCTTTCTGGGGGAGGAACCAGGGAAAGCAGGGTAGGCAGGCTCGGGACGGACTGCTTTGCACAATTACCCAGGGCTCCGAGTCACAGGGATTGTCTCTGGCTGTCCGGTGCCTGACTCCGGCGGGGGTGTCTGTGCAGGGGAGCTGTGGCCTGGAGTGTGTGAGCCCCTGGGACATGGTGGCTGGCACAGGGCTTGCTTTGGCAAGACTGCATAGGAATGGCACTTGTCAGGGGGACCTTGACCATCTGTAGCAATTGGCCAGCCCTGGTAGGGCGTCCTCTCCAGGATACAAGCCCAGAAAAGCATCAGAAGCACAGAAAATAAAAAGGATGATTACACAGTTGGCCTGGTGATGCTTGGATGTCGTATTGAGAAAGCACTGGGGTCAGGACAGCTGAGACATTACAGAGAAGGGTGTAAGAGGTCCCGTGCAGCAGGAAAGACTCTCAAAATGTGTGTGAATAGAAGGAGGGAGCACAAAGCACAGGGGGTTTTGTAGGTGGTCCTTCATTTAGTTCTTCATTGATATGCTATTCGCCTATGAAATAGATCTGAAATTTCCAGAGTCTCTAACAGTGTCTGGGCGGTGTTGCCAAGTGTGTTTAAAAGCATGATTTTGTATATATTCATATGTACAACATGATTTTATTTTATTTATTAACTTTTTTATTTCTATAGGTTATTGGGGAACAGGTGGTGTTTGGTTACATGAGTAAGTTCTTCAGTGGTGATTTGTGAGATTTTGGGGCACTCATCAGCAGAGCAGTACACACTGCACCCTGTGTGTAGTCTTTCATCCCTCACCCTTTTCCCACGCTTTCCCCCTGAGTCCCCAAAGTCCCCTGTGTCATTCTTATGCCTTTGCATCATCATAGTGAGCTTCACCCCACTTATGAGTGAGAACATACGATGTTTGGTTTTCCATTCCTGAGTTACCCCACTTAGCATGATAGTCTCCAATCTCATCTAGGTCACTGTGAATGCCATTAGTTCATTCTTTTTCATGGTTGAGTAGTATTCCATTGTGTATATACCACAGTGTCTTTATCCACTCATCGACTGATGGGCGTTTGGGTTGGTTCCACGTTTTTGCACTTGCAAATTGTGCTGCTGTGAACATGCATGATTGCAGGTATCTTTTTTGTATAATGATGACTTCCTTTCTTCTGGGTAGATCCCCTGTAGTGGGAATGCTGGATCAAATGGTAGTTCTGCTTTTAGTCCTTTAAGGAATCTGCACACTGTTTTCCGTAGTGGTTACACTGGCTCACATTCCCACCAGTAGTTAGAAGTGTTCCCTGTTCACTGCATCCATGCCTACATCTATGATTTTTTGATTTTTTATGATGACCATTCTTGCAGGACTAAGGTGGTGTCATGCTGTGGTTTCCATCTGCATTTCCCTCATCATGAGTGATGTTGTGCATGGTGTCACGCTGTGGTTTCCACTTGCATTTCCCTCATCATGAGTGATGTTGTGCATGGTGTCACGCTGTGGTTTCCACTTGCATTTCCTTCATCATGAGTGATGTTGAGCATGGTGTCACGCTGTGGTTTCCATCTGCATTTCCCTCATCATGAGTGATGTTGAGCATGGTGTCACGCTCTGGTTTCCATGTGCATTTCCCTCATCATGAGTGATGTTGAGCATGGTGTCACGCTCTGGTTTCCATGTGCATTTCCCTCATCATGAGTGATGTTGAGCATGGTGTCACGCTGTGGTTTCCATGTGCATTTCCCTCATCATGAGTGATGTTGAGCATGGTGTCACGCTGTGGTTTCCATCTGCATTTCCCTCATCATGAGTGATGTTGAGCATGGTGTCACGCTGTGGTTTCCATCTGCATTTCCCTCATCATGAGTGATGTTGAGCATGGTGTCACGCTGTGGTTTCCATGTGCATTTCCCTCATCATGAGTGATGTTGAGCATGGTGTCACGCTCTGGTTTCCATGTGCATTTCCCTCATCATGAGTGATGTTGAGCATGGTGTCACGCTCTGGTTTCCATGTGCATTTCCCTCATCATGAGTGATGTTGAGCATGGTGTCACGCTGGGGTTTCCATCTGCATTTCCCTCATCATGAGTGATGTTGAGCATGGTGTCACGCTGTGGTTTCCATCTGCATTTCCCTCATCATGAGTGATGTTGAGCATGGTGTCA